TTTTTTTTTTTTTTTTTTTTTTTTTTTTTAACATGAAAGATAGTTGGAACCTCAGGGTTGAAACCAAGCAGTTCTGTTTGAAAACTGTTAGGAGGAAGCCAGAAATCAATCTTCAGGGCTGGGTGTGGTGCCTTGGGTGTGTGGGGGGCTGGCGTTTCCATCTTTGCTGATGGCAATGTCATATTCTCCTTGTGAGTCATCGGACACAGGTTCCTAAAAAGACAGATTAAGCAGACTGGGTCTGAATTTGAGAGTTCTAGAGCCCCCTGGAATGACTTGGGATAAACTCTAAAGACCAGAGAGGTGTGGCTGGCCACTTTCTGAGGGTGAAAGTCAAAAAACTTCAATGGTTGATGCAGATGGCCTCTGAAAAGTCACCTTTCTGAGAGAAGGTGCAGTGGAATTTTACAAGGCACATCCTCTAATCAACACTGCCCTCCAGTTAACTCAGAGGATGATTGCTTTCTGCCTGACCCACATTCTGCTCAATTGGCAGCAAGTGCCCACATGAATTATTTTCTAAAAATAACATGGCCTCTTTAATCTCTTACTTGTAAGAGCTCATTTATCACTGTCCTTCTGATGCAGCACTCTTTGGTCCCTTTAGACCCAAGACCCTCCCTCTGAGGTCTTCCTGTCTTCCAGGATGCTTTCTGCATAGGAAGAGCTCTTGCCTTCCTCCTCCCACACTCTGTCTCCAGGAGGAAGGCTTGAAGGACTGCGCCAGCGAGGGAAAAGATGTCCAGAGAAGGACACCGACTCAGACAAGGACACTCACGAGGCATGGTGACTAATGCCTAGGAAAACTGCAGAGTCTTAGCTGAAAGGGACTTGCAGATGCCTGTTTGTACTTGGCACAGTCTCTTCCACATGGGTGATGCCGCTGGATCTGTGCACCAAGCAGTAGAAATCTGGAGGAAGGACAGAGAGCTACAAAAGCGCACATATAGGAGTCTGTCACCCCGGCTCCTGGCAGTGATTAAATTTGCTTTAACAACTTAAACAACTCTTTAGTTCTGATGTTCTCATCATCAAATGGTGGTAGTGTTTGGATGGACCGTGTCATAGACTAAATAAGAGGTTGTATGACAGGGCCCTCATCACGTTGGTCAGCCTTCCTTTGCTGTGATAAAATACCTTGGAAAGTTAACACAAAGGTGGAAAGGTTTGTTTTTGGCTTATGGTTTCAGAAGTTTTGGTCCATGGTCAACTGGTCCCACAGCTGTGGTCCTGAGGTAAGGGAGACATCATGGCAAAAGGACGTGGAGAAGCAAAGCTGCTTCCTCCAGGGAAGCAGAGACACAGGGAAACAGCCACAGAGGAGGGAACCGGATATAACCGCTAAGGTCATGCCCCCATGATCACCCCTTCACATAGGGTTTTCCTTCTGTTCCTGTCATCTCATAATAATGCCCTCAAATTACAATTTCATTAATGCATTAATCCACTTGATGAAATTAGAGCCCTCATTGTCCCGTCACTTCCCAAAGCCTGTCAGCTGGCAACCAGGCCTTTGGTACATAAGTTTTGGGGGGCAGTTCAAATCTACACCGGAACTGGCCCTAATGTAAATGCCTAGCACAGGGTGGTTTGAACAAAGCAATCGCTGTTGCTGCTTTTATTGTCCCAAGAATGAAGGACTTCAGGGATAACGTGGTTCAGTTTATTATCACATAAGTCTGACTGCCCATCAGTTAGCAAACTCTGAGATGAGGGAGGAAAGGCACACCTGTGATAGACAAGAATTCTGACAAGCAGATGCTAAGCATAAAGCAGAAGCATCAGTATAATGTAGTGTGAAGTAGGTGTCATGCCCTGATATCTGTCATGTAGGCTGAGCTTTTGAGGAGTGGGAAAGGGGGCAGGGGCTTGAGTCCCCCTTATTACTTTATTCCATTTTTAAATTTTTTGATGCTGGAGTCTCAAACATCCTAAGCACATTGTCTTCCACTGAGCTCTACCTATATAGCCCCACAGTTATCACTTTAGATTTGCCACGCACGATGCCTCAATTCTTATATTGTTCATTCAGTAAGTAAAGCTACTTATTGTCCAACTCTCCTGTCTTAGGACAGATTGTCTTCAAACTTTGCTGTGCCTTTATTTTCCTGAGAAAATCCTAGCGGTAGAATACTGAGCCCCACTAGAGCCGGACATAGTGGCATCTGCTTGCAATGCAAGCGTTCAGGAGGCTGAGGCAGGAGGATCACTGTGAATTGGAAACCAGACTGAACTCTGAGCTACATGGTGAGACCCTGTCTCAAAAAAAAAAAAAAATCTCTGAGTTGCTTTTTTATAGGGGAGGCACTACTGGGCCAAAGGCATTATAGGCTGAGCCTGCTCTGCTGAAGGATCAGAGGAGCATGAGTTTAGACTTGTTTCGCTGTGACTCTCGGCCTCCCTCCACCCTGTTCCAGGAAAAGGAATATGCTTGTCACAGATCATCACATTCCCAGCTTTGTGATCTAAGAGATTCTTTGTGTGAATTTGTTTTTTTCTTTAAAAAAAAAAAAATTAGCCCAGCAGAAACCTTCCTGGTTTGTTTGGAAAAGTGGTTTGCCTATACGTGAGGCAGAGGAGCAGGAGAACAGAGGCAATCAGAAGGGGTGGGTCTGGAATGGAAAGATGCTGGCGGAAGAACTGGGGAAAGAAACAAGCACCCAGCATAGCACATGAGCTCTTGCATTGTCGAGCTCATCCTCCAAGATAAGCCACGTTTTTCTGGCTCTCTTCGTTGCTTTCTTCAGCACCTGCTCCTGGTGCTGAAGCTGACCAGCAAGCTGACCAGCTCCCAGGCCTCCCAAGCACAGGGCCAGGAGTCAGGATTGGCCATAAGGATGGGTATTACTTGGGAGAGCAGGCATCTTGCTTCCACAGAAACGAGTATGCCCTTCTTGTGTACAAGGCTGTCTTAAGGCATTATCTTATATTGTCTCATTTAACTTTTATAGTCCAGGTATTTTTTCACAGATGAAAAAATAAAGTTAAAAATCCAAGGATGGGAACCAGGATAGTTAGCCTATTAACAGCTTTGGGAGTAGAAAAGCTAGGAAAACATTCCTATCTTGGAATCCCTTATGAAACAAATAGGATAGGAAATATTTTCCTTACCATTGAGGTCTCCTGCTGCTAATTAAAAAGATGAGAAAATACATCTTTTGTAAAGTACTTTTAGGCCTATGGTGTTTATATAAACCAAGAAAGACAGGCCCCCAAAAGTAAAATAAATCAGCCAAGTGGCATGGCCTTGTGATTGGCCGTAGGGGCTTTTCTGAGCTCAAAGAAGTAAGGCATGGTCGCTATCTGCCCTATGAGGAAGGCTTGTTACACACAGGCACAAGCACTGGGGTCTGTGAAAGACAGTTTTTTTCCAGGCCTTTGTTAAAACTGCAGCTTTAGTGCTTGCTTCGGCAGCACATACACTAAAACCTGCACCTTTAAAGAAACTCTTTGTTTAAATAGCTGAAGTACAATTCCCAAACCCCTTCTATAAGAGCAACCCCTACCTGGCCCATCTGTGAGCACCATTTGAAAGACTCACTTTCCACGAGCTGCATCTGCTGTCTGTGCCCTGCCTGTCACCAACAGGCCAGGGGAAATTCCATTTAGATAGCAGTTGACGTGATGGCCTTTCAGCTTTCAGATGAGTTTGTAAAACCAGTCTCTGAATCCTGACGGGAAGTGAAGACGCACCGGAAGGAAATCTGGGAGAAACAAAATACTTTCTGATAGGAATCCAGAGCTACTCAAGGCCTGCTGACGGCATCCCCATCCGACACCATGTAGCATTTATACAGATTCCCACCCTCAAGGCATTGGAGAATGGCTGGGCTCCAGCATCCTCTTCCTTTTTCAGACGTTGCAGGTGATCTACCCCTACACCCCGCAGAATGACGACGAGCTGGAGCTGGTCCCAGGGGACTTCATCTTCATGTCCCCCATGGAGCAGACCAGCACCAGTGAGGGCTGGATCTATGGCACCTCCCTGACCACCGGCTGCTCCGGGCTCCTGCCCGAGAACTACATCACCAAGGCTGACGAGTGCAGCACCTGGATCTTTCACGGGTAAGGAGGCTCTGACCTTGGCCTGCGCGGTGGAAGCACACTGCCGTGGTAGACTCCCAGAAATGGACTCAGTCGTGGAGCACAGGGTGGCAGTAACAGGAAGTGGAGCCTGTGGAGAACAAGCTAACTCAAGGCGTGGGAAGAGAGTAGCAGGCTGTGCCCCTCACTTCTCTGCCTGCCCCCTTGATATCAGTATTTTCCTGACCAGAGACTGATCGAAAGCTGCCCAGGGATCCGTCTCTTCGGCTGATGAGTGGTGACTCCTCTGTGCTGGGTCTTCACTGCTTTAGGGCCTCTGTCCACTTTGTCCTAGGTCATTACTACGGCTGGACTGACTCCCACAGCAACCAGTCGGATTCCCGCTGTGACAGACAGATGCACAGCAAAAGGGGCTGCCAGGGTCAGGAGCCCTAACTGAACCCTCACTGGCTAGGTCACCTTGAGCAGGTCCTCAGACTTGGCACATGCGTGCTGAGCCTTCAGGGACTGTATCTGAGCTAACAGGAGCTGCCAGAACTGTAGAGGGGCACACTGCCCCGTCCTTCTTTAGAGTGACACTTCCCACCCGTCCTTCACTACTGTTTGGTTCCTGGTCCATGCTGGCCCTACATTCCAAGTGTTCTGTGTTGTTTGGCTAGCTCTGCCACGATGGATTAAAATAAGAACATCTGCCAGGCATGGTGGCGCACGCCTGTAATCCCAGCATTCGGGAGGCTGAGGCAGGAGGATCTCTGTGAGTTTGAGATCAGCCTGGGCTACATAGTGAGTCCAGGTCAGTCTCAACTACATAGTGAGACCCTGTCTCATAAAACCAAAAATAAATAAATAAATAAACAAATAAAATAAGAACATCTCAGAGCCAGTGTTTCCCTGGCACACGCAGGCACCTAGCCAGGGTGTGTGTGCTGGTTTGTTTTTCCTCCCTCTTGTTTTTGTCATGTGGCAACATGACTGAGAGGTGGAAACTCTGGGCAGCAGCTGCATGGTGGCTAATACTGTTATTACTACCATGAAAAAGAGGCAGACTGGGGCATTTCTGCAAGTGTTCTGCCTGCAGATAGAAAAGAAGTCCCCTGCCCTGGTGAGCAATAAGCAGACAAACCATGAACCCAAAGATGGAAAAGAACATTTTCTTCCTTAACAACTTTCTGCCTACAGCTCTGCCCTCTGCTGTCTGTCTGCCCCTCCCCCATCCTAGCCAGTGGGCATCCCCAGTAGAGGGTCAGAGCCACCTGTGTCCCCAGATACATGCTTTTTCAGAAATGGTTCTGAAACACAAAATAAAGAAGTTGAATTTCCAATATCATCATTTTACCTGTAGAAAAACAAAGCAAAGCACAGCTATATACACCACCCCACGATGTTTCAGGCAGTGATGGGACACACATACATACCACAGAGGTCCAGTAAAGCTGCACTGCTTGGTGACCTGGCGTCCAGCTGGGTTGAGTACCCTCTGTGGTGCTGTGACATGATGAAATCGCTCAGTGACACAATTCTCGGAACAAATGCACATGTCCCTGAATTAGAGCTCAGGCTGAGCCCAAGTGACTTGTGTCAGCAGTCACGTGATCTGTATGCCACCTTCTTTTACTTTGAGAGGTTATTTCCAAGAAATTACATTTGAAATTCACCTATCAGCATCCACAGCCAACCCTGCTAGAGTGGAGAAATCTTTCCAATTAAGAATTTGAATTTTAGCCAATTGTGATGGTGTGTGCCTGTGATAGCAGCACTCAGGAGGCTGAGGCAGGAAGATCACTGTGAGTTCAAAGCTGGCCTGGGCTACACAGTGAGTTCAAGGCCACAAAAAGAGACTCTGTCTCAAAAAAAAAAAAAAAAAAAAAAAAAAAAAAATTTAATTGTAGTCTTAGATTCAAAGCCTTACTCTCCCATTTACCAACTATGTGGCCTTGGCCAGATTATACTGCTTCTCTGAGCCTCTTTCTATTCACCATAAAATGGAGATAATTATCCCACCTACCTCATAAGGCTTAGCTTTACATGGATCTATACAACAGCACTGAATATACAATAGCCATTAGCATTCTTTTTTTTTTTTTTTTTTTAGTCTCACCATGTAGTTGAGACTGACCTGGAACTCACTGTGTAGTCCAGGCTGGTCTCAAACTCACAGCGATCCTCCTGTGTCAGCTTCCCGAGTGCTGGGATTACAGGCATGCGCCACCATGCCCAGCACCATTAGCATTCTGAGTGCTCTTTTTTTCTATCTTGTGTTTACCAGTCCTCGTGTCCATGCTCACCAAATCAAATGTCTCTTCCACAAAGCCTAGGTGAAAATGCCACATGAAGGCAGTGCCCAGTTCCTCTGTGAGACCACCCTCCTCTTGTCCTAAACAGTGACAGACCAGAGTGCGTGGAGCCCAGGGCTGAGTCCTGGCCAGACTGATTGGCCTGGTGAGAACATGAGAGAGGCCTGGCTCAGTGCCCTTCATACCCCTCACAGCCCTGTGCTTCTCAGCCTTCCGAGTGCCCCCTGAGGAAATGCATTCCCACTGCCTCCCTGGGCTGTCCCCCTGCTTTAGAGTGTGCAGGTATTTAGCAGCCGATGTGACCCCACTGTGTCCCCTGAAGTGGGGGAACTGCCTGGCCCTTCTAGGCCTGACACAGGTCTACTATGTTGTAGTAGAGCCAACACGTCCAAGGTGCTCGGGAAGAGGTTCTGGGTGTCAGCCTGGCTTCCTTCCTACACTGCTGTCCACATACAGCCCCCACTATTGTCTTCTGGGAACACCACACACACACACACACACACACACACACACAGTCTCAGGGGGAGTCAGGTCCTTTGATTGCAGGGATAGAAGAAGAGGAGGCCAATGTTCTCTATGCCAAGAGAGCAGAAGGGGAAGAGAATCAATCCTGTCAGTGTCTTTCTGACTGTAATAAAGAAATTAAAGTCACATACAAGCCGCATATCAGCCTGATTCCAGAGAGCCAGACACTTCCGGGCTCTGATGCTTTGATAAACCAGATGAGAAATCTGAATTGTCTGTAACTCTGACATTCCGGAGGGTGTCAGTGTGAAATAAAGGAATACGGCTGGTCTGTTCAACTATGAATGGCATGAGATTTCCTTGGGCTGTAGTTACTGAAATTTGCCCCTAACAGGTTTCATTCAGCTGCACAACAGACTTACTGACGCAGATGTGTTACACTCTTGGCTCCTGGTTGCACCCCACACTCTGAGTCACCCGCTGCGAGGGGTGGTTTCCAGGAAGGAGTAGTGTTTACAGGTTCTCATGTGCATGGAGCTGAAAATCAGTTTTTTAGCCTACAAGGTCTCTGAGAACTTGGCTTATAAGTAGAACGACTATCATTTGTAGTTTGCGGGGGCACTTCTCAGGGCAAAGAGGATGTAGAAGCATTAAAATCATATAATCTCAAAAGAAAATCTGCTGAAAACCAGTTAGCTTCATGTTCTTGGGAGACAAGAATTTATTTTCAAAAATAAAATTTTAGCCAGCATGGTAATGCACTGCCATTGTCCCAGCACTCATGGAAGTTGAGGCAAAAGTATCCTGGAGTTCAAGGTTAACCTGAACTCCACCCTGAGATCCTGTCTCAAAAAAAAGAAAGAAAAGAAAAATCGAAATAAGCTGTGCATGTCAGCTTACATCTGTAACCCCAGCATTCTGGAAGACTGAAGCAGGAGGATCACAAGTTTGAGCCCAGCTTGGGCAGTTTAGCAAGGATCATAGGTAATACGATGGAAAGAGCTATCAAAACAAAACAAAACCTCATTCTTCTCGTCAGATGGAAATTACCATGGAAATGATAAAGGCAAAGAGATTTCTTCAAATTTCATTTGAACCATAAAAATAGCTGGAAACAGTGGTACATAATGGATACCTTATTATTAAACATGCCTTTGGGCCGGGGATTTGGCTCCTTGGTTCTGCTGCCAGCCTCGAAAGCACAAGGACTCGAGTTCAATCCCCAGCACCAAAAAAACAAAACCATGCCTTTGGTCCCAACCATGCCTGACATCCTAATAAAATCATTGGACCCCACCCCTGCCCAGGAGATAAAAGCAGCTGTTCTCAGTACAGAAGTCCGCTCACTCCTCACTTACTAGCTGCAGAACTTCAGCATTAAACAAGATGTTCTCCCTGGGGTGAGTGAGCTCTGCTCAGTTTTTCCAAGCTCTGTGCTCCCCAGGGAGTGTGTCCTGCTTGTTCCCATCAGCATGAAATTTGGGTGACTTGTGGCCAGAACAGTTAGCATCTTCCTCATCTTCCTCTGCAGTTCATACTCCATCCTAAACACGGCATCGTCCACCTCGCTTATGTTTGGTGATGGCGTGCTAGAGAGGCGGCAGTATGAGGACCAGGGGCTCGGGGAGACGACGCCTCTCACTATCATCTGCCAGCCCATGCAGGTAAGACTAACGCGTGGGGTCACATCCTCAAGTCTAATCGTGACACACTGAGAACCGATTTATTCAGTGTCAGCACTGCAACTTGCTGCCCCCAGCAGGTCCCTGACCTCTTGAGGATACAGCACCCAAGATCACAGAAAAGGCTGGGAAGAGTCAAGTGAGTAGTGCTAATAATGACCACCAGCATTTGAGTCTGGGCTAGCAAGGAAGGTTGTGATGTTTCCCTCCAAAGTAGGAATAATACCCATAGTTGTGTCTGCTTTGTATATCGTTGTGAAAATTAAAGATAATAATAAAATAAGGCTCTTAGCACAAGAGCATATGGTGAGTGAGTGCTCAATATATGTTACCTTCTTCAAGACAGGTGAGGAAGAGAGTAGAGAGGAGTAGTTGTTGAGCAGTATGGACAGAGGCCAGTTGAAAGTTCAAGCCTGCGAAGATGAAAGAGAACACTTTGGATGGAACCTGGGATGTGAGTTAGGGAAGGGTAGGAAAGGAGATGGAAAAGTTCCTTCCCCCAGTGCACCACATTAACCTTGTCAGAGCAACTAGAAGCTAACTGAAAGAGCTCACTGCCATGGACCTGGAAGCACCAAGGAAACCTGGAAAACAGCAGACTATCGTTAAGAAGGAAAACAAACATCTATAAGGTTCCACCAGCATCATAGAAACCAAAAGCATATGGACCTGTCTTTGACTAGATTTGCCTATTTCATCATTGAGGAGTTAGCTCTTGTCCTCCTGAAACTGTTTCAGAGAACATCAACATCTATGTAGTCAGACAGCAGAGCCCACATGGTGATTACAATAGGTAAAGCCAGGCTTCGCGGCTGGAGTAGACAACACGAAATATAAGAACTATTGGCATCACGATTATTCTTTCTTTCCATAGGACGCAAAAGGTCCTTTGGTCATAACCACATTTTAGAGATGAAGCAGACACATTTGTGACAACAGAAGTCCCTGAGGAAGTTTATGAAGCATGCTTTTGGGGGAGAAAGCTATCCCACCAGATAACTACATTAATGGCTGGTTGTATCTCTGAGCTGTAACTCACTTGGCCTTTGTGTTTTAGTAGTGACAAAATGCTACTCCTACTGATAGTGACAGTAATACTACTACTTTCAGACACTTGCCCCACCCCCTTTTTTTCAGTACTAGAAATTTAACCCAGGACTTGATGCATGCTAGATTCCCAGTCCATTTTTATTTAAATTTTGAGACAAGGTCTCACTAAGTTGCCCAGGCTGGCCTCAAACTTGGAATATTCCTTTCTCAGATTACTAAGTAGCTGGGATTATAGGGGTATATCGCATCTGGATCATAACCCTGCTTATTTGACAAAACACCTGCAGTTTATGTCATGTGAGCCTCAGAATAACTTGTGAGGTCTGTAGCATGGGCCTTAAAATCCTTATTTTACAAACAGGGTTCCAGGGTTCTAAAGCCACATGTTGGCAAAACTCCAGGTCATGTCTACTGAGCTGTATGCTTCTTTGGGATTCACTTTTCTTCCTCTGCAGCCTCTGAGAGTCAACAGCCAGCCCGGCCCTCAGAAGCGGTGCCTCTTCGTGTGCCGGCATGGAGAGAGGATGGATGTTGTTTTTGGGAAGTACTGGTTGTCTCAGTGCTTTGATGCCAAAGGTGAGTGCTGCAGGGCCCCTTAGCCCCTAGTCAGCCATAGTGTGAAAATATTAAGTGGAAATTTTCAGAAACAAACAATTCATAAGTTTCAAATTGCACTCCATCTTGAGTAGTGTGGTAAAATTTCATACCAACCCACACCTCCCAGCCTAAGTCAGTTATCTTTTTCCAGTGTATCACCTCCTTGTCACCTACAAGCCACTTTGGTTATCAACTCTAATGTCCCCATATCACAGTGCTTATGATCACAGTCCAAGTGACTATTATATAGTAACATAATGTTATTCGCCCTATTATGCAGACATTATACCCTTCACATCATCACAAGAAGGGTGAGCACAGTGTAATAAGATATCTTATGAGGGAGAGAGAAAGACCACATCTATATAAATTTTATTGCAGTATATTGTTATCATTGTTCCGTTAGTGTCTCCCTGTACCTGATTTATGAATTAATTTTTATTGTAATTATTCTTGTGTAGAAAAGAACAGTAGCAGTTTCTGGTTTCAGGCATCCTCTGAGTGTCCCGGAACACCAAGTATAAGGGGAAATGTACTGTAGTTGGTTGACCTGGTGAACTGGCATACCAACCATAGCCTCTAGGGGGCATCGGCAAGCTACATTTGCCTACCTGGAGTCATGAGTTTGAATACTATTAGAAAATGCCTGTAATCAACAAGTCCTTCCTGACTGTCATGGGTCTTAAGGAAGAACTAAATGATCTTGTCCCCATTTTATAAACTGAGGCACAAGAGACCAAAGAAATGTGTTGCCCATGGTCGTGACAAAGTCGATCTCAGGAACATGGCTAGAGAGATTCCTCCATTGAATCACCCTGGCTCATCCGTTTCCCCTTGCACTTGAGGAGCATTTTAAGACAGATGTCAGAAAATGCCACCTGGTTTAGAATGTCTGGTTGTTATTTTCACTTAGAAACTATCTCGTCACTTTTATCAGCAGAGCAGAAGAATAAATTCCACATCAGGCAACTGAATAAAAAGTGTCAGATTTAATATTTTACATCAGCTCCAAAGAGCTCAATTGAAGGGCTGATTCCCCAGTACCTTAAAAAAAAAGCTTTATTCTTGGCCAGGAAGGAAACAGTGTCAGGATCACTAAGAACAAGAGACTCACACAGTCTTTGTCCTACCTTTCCTTCCAGGCCGCTACATTCGCACCAACCTGAACATGCCTCACACCTTACCTCAGCGGAGCGGTGGCTTCCGGGATTATGAGAAAGATGCTCCGATCACAGTGTTTGGATGCATGCAAGCAAGACTGGTGGGTAAGTGTCCTGGAGTGACTGGCTCCTTCTTCAAAACACTGGTGCCATGGGTGTATCAGGACACTTTCAGGGACCTTCCATAACTCTGACTGTGGTGGAAAAAGGAACCTGTTACACAACTGGTAGGTTCTGGACCTGGCTTGTTTTATCAAAGTGAACAACATGTGGTCCTTGTTCAGGAACACAGTGGCGAAGGGCACACTTGGTTTACTGGAGTGACAGATACGTCAGCTTCTGACCAGAGCACCTGCCAACACAGCCCTAAGAAAATAGCAAGAATGGGGAAGAAAGAGCCCAGAAATTGCTGAATTCACAGAAGCCAGTTAATGCTTGACCACACTCAGTTCGTTGTGGCCCTGTTCCATACCAGCCATGCAGAGACAATGCCTTGCGCTGTTCAGCCATTTCACAGATAACTTATTGATCACTTACCTTGTGCAAATTACTAGACTAGGTATTGAGGGCCCGAGTGTGAGTTCGTGAGAAACAAATTTATATGTAGATAAATATCATGTAGTATGGACACTGAATAATGGAGCTATGCATGGAATACTGTGGGAGCACAAAAATTTTAAAAGAGAAGAAAAAGACAGGAAAAGAGGCGAGCTGGGATGTGAAAAGGGAGTAGCTGGGAGAATGAACAGGAGGAAGAGAATGGTGTTCATAGGAGAAAAGACATCGTAAACAAAGTCATAGGAGTAAGAAATAGCATCGAGGTGACAGGAAAAACAAACTTTCTTGTTTCTAGAGCATAAATTGGGAGGCCAGCCAAGAGATAGCCTGGCAAGATGAATAAAGACAAGTTCAAAAAAGACCATGACCACCATATTAAGGTATTAGTTTACCTGGTGGAAAATAAGTGAATTCCAGGAGGCAAACATTAAAGCCTCAGATGTTGGGATTTATCTCTGGGATCCAAGGATATGACCAGTCGAGATTTGGTTAGCACAGCATGCAATTAAAGTAAGGTCTAATTTTCCCTTCCTTACAATAGAGAGATTAAAATATTGTCCTCTTTGAAGTCAGGGCACTACTCTGTTTCTAGGTTTCTCTTAAGAGGACATTTTGCTGCTTGTAGCCACTAAAGGGAAAGAATAAGAAAAATAAGAAGGAGCCTGTTGCTTGACTCTGTAGATACTCTGTTAAGGGGATTTGTTGGAAACAAGGCTGACACTACTGGATCTATGTGAGCTGCACTAGATGAGAGAGATTCACTGGCTCTGCTTGGAAACATTACACCAAGGGTTGAGCGGAGTCCAGGTAAATCTAACAGACTGATTCTCCTTGATTTTCATTGCAGGCGAAGCCTTGTTAGAAAGTAACACCATCATCGATCACGTCTATTGCTCCCCATCCCTACGCTGTGTTCAGACCGCACACAATATCTTGAAAGGTGAGATTCTCAAGTTGACAGAAATCCATTAGTCTCCCATCTCTAGACACCTAATTATCATAGCATTACGGGATATTCACCAATTGAAAGCTTTGAATCTGGAATTGTGAGCAAGGATTCTTTCATAAGATGACTGATCTTGCTCACATCACAATCTCATGCTCTGACACCCTAAGCCAGACAAAAGAAAGTCTACTAATAATGTTTTTTCCTGGGAATTGAAAGCTTTCTTGAATGAGCTGTAGGCTTGCAAAATATTCAGAGCTTATAGATCAGTGATGCTGTCTTTGCACTTAGGTAGTCAAATAATTTTTCACCCAGCTTTGATCTGTTGTTTGCCACAGTGGTACTGCTGGGAGTCTCAAATCTTGATCGTCCTTGTTTCTTTAGTTAATAAGAAAGACTTTAAAAGCACCATTGCTATAAAGATATGTAACTTTCACCATAAAATCCATACAATTTTGTGGTACAAAGATCTCTATTCTCATTTCACTGGAAAAAAAAAACTGGGGAAAAACAGATTTGGGTCAGAAAAGAAAAGAGGCAGAAACAAACAAGCCAATAAAGAATTTGACACTGTATATGAGTCTTCTATTCTTTAACCTTAAATAAACTTTCTCTTCTTTATAGAAGCATGTATGTGTTAAATTTGCACGGAGAAACTGGACTAGATGCAATATAAAGAAAGCTAAGCTAATATAAAGGGATAATTCATACGCTGAGCATAATGATGGTCCAATGAAACACAGGGCTTCTGCGCTGGTCCATGAAACATTAGGTTTTCTGATAGAAAAAATAAATAACTAACATGATATTTAAATATAATTTAAGCTGTGGTACAGTTGTCATGCTAGAAGACCAGCTAAGTTTTTTGGTAAGACAATCATGGAATTTACTTTAGAGAGAGAAATCATAATCACCACAAAGTTAAATAAATTATCAATGACTGATGGGTTTTTTTTCCACTTAAATCAGACATGACTTAAAGCCAGCATTTATCCCACGGGTGTAGCCTGAGTATTAAACTCATGTGTTGGTGAAATACAAAAACTATCAGCCTTGTCCAAATCCACATGCTTCCCACTTTCTTTCAGCTATATATAGCATCTAGTGGGGAAAAGCATAACTGACTCAGAATTTTCATAGTAGTTTGGCCTGCAATGGCATTTCCTGCATCTTCATTTTATTTTATTTTACCTCTAAGGTTTACAACAAGAGAATCACTTGAAGATTCGTGTGGAGCCTGGTTTATTTGAGTGGACAAAGTGGGTTGCCGGAAGCACATTACCTGCATGGATACCTCCGTCAGAGTTAGCCGCAGCCAACCTGAGTGTTGATACAACCTACAGGTAACCCCTGAAACTGCTGCTGCCCAGAGCAAATGTGAAAACACCTTCCACCCTGGCGCTAAGCCAGGATAATCAAGCAGATAAAGGGCCAGCCAGCCTGTGAACTTGTCAGTAATGATGGAAGTCAAACTATGACTTCAGAAGCCTAACCAATAAAGCCAGCCTGCCCTTGTATGTAGCATTAGCATGACTTACACATCCCACTCCAACCTGCTCCCGCGTTGGCTTTTCTGACTTTATTATGTCTCATTCAGTCTAATAATAAAACCACTTTGCATTCCGAAACATGCACCAGCTAAGGATAATGTAGTCCAGAAACTCAAAAGTGATGAGGGAAGTGACGACATTTCCACTTTTAATTTTCCAAAGCATTGTTAGTTCTCTATCCTACACTCATTTGCTATTGCTATAATCCTGTAATGAGAAAAAGCCACTTATTAACAGTTTTTGTAGCGTGGAGGATGGAAGCCAGGGCTTCACACATACTATGGAAGTCTGTGCCATGGAGCTCCATCGCCAGCCCAGCAAGCCACTGTTGATATATAAAGCAGTTCAAGTGGCTCACCTGAAGGTATACGTTTAGTGAGCTCACAGAAAAGTCGTAATGATGACAGCTAATGTTTATTGACCAATTTCTGCTCCTCAAGTATTGTGGAATGTGCTTTACAGCCATTCTCAATCCTTTTCTGTTGATTTTTCCCCCCGTAGATTAGTTACCTCTCTATGCTGGGATTCTTTTTTTTTTTTTTAAGTGTAGATTGTGAACAGGTCAATAAACCACATGTACACAATTAAAAATTCATTGACAATAATATTGTTACATTAACTTCAAAATTTCACTCAACATTTGTAAAATCTCTGTGAAGGGATAGTCATAGCCGTGTAGTGGGAAATCAAACTGATGTTTCTTCTAAGAGAATTTGGAACAAGTGACCAAAATAAGCAGAACTTTCGTCCTTGTGATATCTGTCATTTCAAATATGAAACCAAACCACAAATGTAGCAATATGAGTTTCTGGCTAAGGAAGGAGGGAATATCTTTTTCTTTCCATACTCATTTTTCTGCCCTGCTGATAAGACCTCAGGTAATCTGATTACTTGAGCATGTGCTACTTCTTCTTGCCTTCAAGGAATTTGCAGTCCTCCAAAATAAAATTAAATGAGTCAGTCAGGCCCCCTACTAATAGAATTCACATTTTGTTCTCTGGCCACCATTTCCTGACCTTGAGGATGGTGAACAGGAATAAATTGTCTGCAGCCCAACAAGCATCCTCACTCTGGCCCAGAAAGAGGATGAGGTGCTACCAACATTAGTGAAGTGACTTCATTTCTCTCCATCCAGCCCTGTCCAGGCCCCCACAGGCTGATGGTGGATGTGTTCAGCTTCCCCCTAGATGAATCTGCAGCACTTCCTACGCTGGACTGCAGAGTTCCCCAGGATTTGCATACCCAGGTGCACACAGACCACACACCCCCCCCACAAGCAGGGCAATCAGAAGGATGAATGCTTGGGAATCAGGACACGGTTCTTATTCCATATTTCCTTTTCTTCTTCAGCAAATCAAAATTTAATTCAATCATATTTTGTTTGGGATGGGGCTAGGGGGATGAAGCCTCTAGTTCTACTAATCAGTCGAGAAAGCCAAAGTTAAAAGCATGTGAGAGACACGGTCCTAGATTGAAACTTCCCCTGGAGTTAATGGTGCCAAATGAACAGGCCTTTTGAAGTGAGTCAGTGATGCCCAGATGCTAGGGCATGGTGATAGGAGGAGAAACAAGCCCTGAGAACCAGGGTAACATGAGTCAAGCACACTTTGTCTCTTAAGACCCCTGTCACCTTGCAACAGGGCCCAGCATAGAACAGGAAGGAGGAGGCCCTGAAAGTCGGGTTAGGGAAACTTTTAGACTGCTGACTCATACTCAGTCATAGCCACAGGTTTAAGACCAGCCTAGGGGCTGGGTGTGGATGCCAGCCACAGACCTGGGAAGCTTGCAGGACAGCAAGGCTGAAAGAAACAGAATGTATTCCAACTTGAAAGGGCTTCAGAAGAGGAGCTGGGCCCTGACACTTGGGGGAGACAACGGGCTGAGGGAGGGCATCAGTCTGGAGTGCTGGAGGGTGACAAATCAAGCTTTGGGCTGGTCTCAAGCCAAAAGCCTGTACCAGAGCAGGTAAGATTGAAGAGTGGACAAGGAAGAGGGTTTTTCTGCAGGTGCCACCTGTGAACCTAGAACACTGAGTACCAAATCTGCTGGTGGTTGGAAGCCCACTTGACTCAGTGGGCAGTCCAGGACCCTGCAGGTATGCCTGGCTGTACTATGCCCATCAGGAGTGATCAGACTAGAGCCATTCAGAGATTCAACTTCAAGGTGCAGAGAAAGGCCAAAGGCAAGAACTGTTCAGGAGGATCTAGATTCCAGTATCCATCTTGTTCTCCATTTGCATAAATCCCACCCATCACAATGTGGTCTCACCCTTGAATAGACTCCAGGAACCTTACTTATAACGTGTCCTTTCCAGGCAGTGTGTAGAGAGGGTGGGGCAGCTCCATAGATACCAGGTGATGTAAATGGTAATGGGACTGGATGAGAGGTAGGAAAGGAAGGGGAAAGAAAGAATTTACCTTAGAACAAAGAGGTCCAGCCCTAACAAGTGGTGATTTGTGTCTCTACCTGCCCCCAGGGTAGGGTGAGAATCAGGGACTGTTTCCCAGGAAAAAAATATGCAAGCTGGGAGGCTAGAACAGCAGTTTCCTTCACATAGAACAGTATCATCCTGCTCTTTGCACAGTGGAGCCAAGCGCACAGAAAGGTGGCTTATGAGGGCAGTGTCAAAAGCTTTTCAGTGTGGAGGATCAGCTCACAGGCCAGACCAGAGACCCAGATTCAAGTCTGGGCTCTAAGAGTTGCTAACAGTATAAGCTAGTCAACTGTTGCCTTTCAGAACCTCAGTTTTGTCATCCTGAAACTCGGAATTCACAAAAGTGTTGCTGGGAAGATCATACTGAAAGAACGCAGGCAGGGGTTGGCATAGGGCCTTATTCATGAGAACCTCTCATAACTGTGTTTCTAGGACTAATAGCAGCAAGTAGTAGTACTGTACTGTGGTGCACACCCTGTGAATTTCTCTTTGGGAACACGCCGAACACCTGCACCAAGCACCACACACCCAGCGGTGGAAGATACAATGAGAAAACAGAGTTTAAAGGACGTAAGAGTTCTCAAAGAGCAAGATGAACCTGAGGAGACAAACTCTAAATATACAGGGGTGAAAGCAGGCAGAGGAGCAGGATCCCATGAGTATTGCTGACTGATCACCACAATGGGCCTTTGATCCTTCTCAAATACCTTTGTAGATTGTGTCATAATTACCTTTTACATCATTGGCCTTCCCTCACAGTCCGTCCACACAGACAGTTCCTCGAGCACAGAAATTGGGTTCTCTTCATCTTTATGCTCCCTGGGTTTCCAGTACCAGGTACAGTAAGTCCTTGACTTAGGAATGAACTCTGTTCTGGGAGAATGTTCAGAAGTCTGATTCGTTCATAATCTGACAAAGTGAGTCTTATATAGTACTCCTGTGACTCTTACACAGTACGCCTGTGAAAGTTCACAACATGAATGTTTCTAAGTCGGGTCTTACTGTATATAGTTTGGGTTCAAAATAAGGACAGTGAAGGAAAAGCCTGGTGGAAATTTCATAACCTCGCAAGTCAGATGGACTGAACACCTGCTTTTAAAATGGATCCTCTCAGTTTATTGTGCATAAAGCTTCTGGGACATTTCAGGTCATCAAATAAAGAGATCTAATCTCTACCTTGCTTCCTGTTAGCTGTGTGATTAGGACCATCCATAACTAATGTCCAATAAAAGCAGTCAAACTGTTTAGTCATACTGTGGGTGACAGGTCACCGTGATACCATACATGTAACCTTTATTCCTGCACATGTCAACCGTACCTCCAGATAGTGGAAATCCTGTCCCTCTCTCCTTTCTAGGGAAATAGATAAACAGATACAAGGGTAAATTTTAAAAGGCCTTAAAGGGGAGATTTAGAGTGAAATCAATTGCTTTGTCTTAGGATCAAAATGTTTTAATTTCCTTTGTTTGTTTTTATGTTACAGACCTCACATTCCAGTCAGCAAATTAGTGGTTTCAGAATCCTATGACACTTATATCAGTAGAAGTTTCCAAGTAACAAAAGAGATAATAGGTGAATGTAAAAGTAAAGGTAGGTGATATTTTCTTCTCCTCCTCCTCCTTCTCCTCCTTCTTTTTAGGTGCTCTTATTTTGGACTGCATACTTAAATATTTAGTCATTTCTCCATCATGGTTAATAGCCTATTCAAGGTATTTCAACTTGTTTTGACAGACTTGCTTAATAGGGAAGAAATATATATTTCCAAACTATCACATTAAATTTATCTCTATCTCCGAGTACCTAAAATGCTAGGTGTTCCAGGGAACACGCTAGATTTAGTTACTGTACTAAGTAATGTAGATTCTGCATTGTAGCTAGCCCTCTTGCACCTTGTGGAGACCCCCTATTACAATTTCTAGAAGTGGTCTAGAATAACACTGTTTACCTATAATTGATACAAGAGAATACATTCCACACATAAACCTGTCTACCCAAACACACCTACGGCCCCTCTTGCCACCAACGAAGAGCAATGCTGTATAAGGTTCAAGTCTGTTTGCTATTGTGGTAGCTCAGATATTTAGTGATATGTAGGACTGGCTGTTCACTGTAAATTTTAGGTTAGTATATCTATGTGCATAGAGCAGAGACTGGAATTAGTACATGAAAATGTTACCAGCAGGCAACAGTGAACAGATGGCTCCCACACCCCATCATCACCCTAAGCTGCTCATTGCCATGAAGACATTCAGCAGGGACTCTCAGACAGGTTTCTGGTAATCACTGTTCTGCAGTGGTAACATTTAAACCTGTAGTAGAAGGACTGACACAGGAAACCCTTTGAACATAGAACAGTTCTGCATCTCAGTTGAGTTGCCATTGTGAACAGTACATTCACACACAAATTCAGTCTTGTAAGCCTAGGAGAAATCCGAATATGATACATAGATTACCCCAGTGTCCGTTTCCTGGTTTTCATAGTATACCGTAGTTAGGAAAGATGTGCCCTCTCAGGGAGGCTGGGACATGAAATTTCTTTGGTATGTATGTGTATGTACATGTAACCCTCTGTGAATCTATATAATTATTTTTTCTTTTTCTTTTCCCTTTCACAATTTTTTTCAGTGCTAGGGATTGAACCCAGGGCATTATGCATGCTAGGCGAGCATGCAACCACTGGATCACTGAACTACATCCTCTGTCCCTTTTAAAAATGTTTTAATTGACACATATTAATTGCACATGCTAATGGGGCACAGTGTGGTAGTTCAACATCTATACAGTGCTAATGATCCAATCAGGATAATTAGCTTCTCCCTTTCCTTAAACATTTCTCATTTCTTTGTGTTGAGTATAATTATTTTAGGATAAAATCTTTGTTTTAAATAGGCTACCTTAATGATAAGGGAGAATTTTTACAGTTTTGCTTGGAAATCTTTTCTTCTTTCTAAGAATGCTTAGTCCCAGAACACAGAGCTTTCAGTACAGCATTTACAAAGCTTATACTAGCCTTTCTAGACAATCTTCCCATTCTTTGCTTCCATCCCCAGGAAATAACATTCTGATTGTGGCCCATGCATCTTCCCTTGAAGCATGTACCTGCCAGCTTCAGGGCCTGTCACCTCAGAACTCCAAGGACTTTGTGCAAATGGTCCGAAAGGTAATTCATTCTCCCACTTAGGGGGCCCATGATGCCTGGTAGTTTAATAACAGTTCAGTGACTGGCCAATAACTAATTTCTTCAAAGCATGCATTCACACTGAGCTAAGAGAATTTATTTTCACTTAACCTGGATATACTGAGTGGGACTCTGTATAATGCAATTTATTAGGTCTTACATAAAAGTAAAAGATGCGTTAGTGCTAGTTCCAGCTTATAAGAGCTAAAATTTAGGAAGCAGCTTAGAATCAGAAGCAATGAGGGACTTTGGAATAGAGGAATAGAGGTGAGCTCAAAAACATGGCCAAAAGCTTAGCTGGAAGAGAGGTCTTAACAGGTAGGCCAGGCAGGGAAGGTGAGGAATTACAGCAATCCCCTTCCCACTGAAAGGCAAACCTAGGCGGTAGAAAGATAGAACTACAGGGACGGGCCCCCACTTTGGAGGGGGTGGGTTCCTGTGGAAGAGGTTTTCTGGTCAGCCACCTTGTACACTACCCCTTCAGGCAAGACTGCTACCTACTTCCTTTCTCTACCTCCAGAGGGCCCTGTTGAAACTTTCTCCTTTCGAAAAAGTTTACTTACGCATCTGTCCTCCCTGGTAATCTGTAAACTGCTAGAGATAGGAATTTTTATCTTGTTTACGGATGTCTCGTTGGACACCTAACAGAAAACTAAGTTTTGAAATTGTCAAGTTAGCAAGGACACGGGTTCTACTTTGAATGTCACAGATACGTACGTGCCACATACTTCCTGAAAAAAGATAAAGCAAAGGTGAAACAATTTTTTTAATTGAATAATCTTTCCTGTTGTGCCCAGGTGTCATTTCAGAAATATCTGAGGTGCCATTTGAACCTGACATGCACTCAGGGATGAACTCCAGGCTCCTTAGCATTACAGTGGTCCTCCTCCTATCTGAGGTCTTACTTACTGAGGTTTCAGTTACCCTCATCCAACCAAGACCCCAGAATACAAGACCTACTCTGTAATAAGATGTTATGACAGAGAAAGGGAGAGACCACATTCATGTAATTTTCACTAGAATTTATTTTCATACATTCTTATTGTTGTTTGTCTCTTCTCTGCCTGATTTATAAATTAAACTTTATCATAGATATGTATGTATAGAAAAAAAACAGTGTATATATAGAGCTCAGTACTCTCTGAGGTTCCCAGTGGGCAATTGGTATATATAATTTTGTTCTTTTTTCTCCCACCCTCCTAAGCAGTAATCTATAAACAACTACTTCTAATGGGGTATTCAACTTTTAATAGAGCCTTCTGATGAATCCTCTTGAAGCACAAATACTCTTTTCTCCGATTTATCAATTCCATTCATTTCATGTTATGTATTGGCTTTTGAAGCAATACATTTCTGCAAAGCCCTTCTTAATTCCCGTCATCCTCTGAGGTAGCCTGAACGTGCTTGTGTCTGAGAGTGAAAGTGACGGGATTAACACTTTGTTTTCTATTTTCCCTTTGCTCACTACTCTTGCTTCAGATCCCATACCTGGGCTTTTGCTCCTGTGAAGAATTAGGAGAAACTGGAATATGGCAGCTGACAGACCCACCCATCCTTCCCCTTACTCACGGACCAACCGGGGGCTTCAACTGGCGAGAAACCCTGCTGCAAGAGTAAGCCTAAAAGGCCTGAGAGGAAAAGGTCTTTTGGAGAAGAGTCTCTCGGGCGTTCGGTAACAGTGGAAAACTGTGCACTGCCTTCCAAGTGGACAGCTCACATTTAACATACTGCCTTTCACGCTTCCGGTTCTTGTGACAAGACTGCATAAATGAGCAAAAGGCATGATTCGGGGGGGAGAAAAATCCATCCTCTTGGGACTCTTGCCTGGCTAACGAGGCTTTGAGAACTGTCTTCCTGAACCTGCAGCAGCTGTAGCAGAAGCCCATTCTCATCCTGGTTCTGCTGTACATGGCTAAGGAGCTTCCCTCCTCCCCACCGGAGCTGCCTCCCACTCTTGGGAGGGCTGCAGGAAGAAGGAGTGTGTCTGGAACGCAGTCTGGAGATGGGACGTTCTGTTGAACTCCATTTTCAAGTTAGGCAAAGCCAAGCTGAGAAATCCTACTAAGGTTATTAGAAAACATGCCCCACAGAGAGTTGTCCTTAGGTTACACTTGAAATTCTACTCTTAGTCGACTCCATACATTAGCATCACCGGGTCCAAACACTTAAGGAGCTTAACATTTGTCCTGGTACTTCCTCATTTTAGGGATGGCTTCTTGCTTCGTCTCTGAAATGGAGAGAGAAAGCACTTCTGCTCTCCAAAGCACTTTTAGACCCTCAAGAGGAAGATAAGATAAATATGAGATATATTCAATGGTAGGTGCAGAGAACTTGCAAAATACAAAGTACATTGGAATTATCTGTGTTGCAGCCTAATGAGCCACAGCACTTCTAAATCACCAAGATTTACTTGTCTCTGCTCCTAGACTCCGATAGTGTTAACTAGTTAAGGAGGTTGACATTTGAAAGGACTGTATGTTCAGGACATTATTTGAATCAGCAGGAAGCTCATTCTGTGCAATGTGCACATCTTGACAAAACATACCAAGGGCCAGGTTGTGGTGCCCTCCCAGTACATGCCAACCAAACAGAATGTCCAGAGATGCACCAGTTGTACCAGAGATGTATAATGAAGTCAGGGAACTAATTTAGCTGACGACAGTCACGACTGCACTGCTACTTGTGCTGTCCTCTTTCTGTCTGTCTTTCTATAATAACTTAAAAGCTACAGGAGGTAGAGCTACTTGAGGAAAGCTAGAGAGCCACATCCTGTGGTTTCTTATTACAACTGCTTCCTGTATTGAGAGGGAGTTTATTTAAAAGAAAAATAAATGACAATCAAACCAAAACATCAGTTATCAATGTCTATTTAATTTTGTGAGTAGCTTACTGTTAGAGCCACGGACAGTGGTCTGGTGTGATATATAGTTCACTGTGTAGATTGTGTGTGCAAAGTAAAACCCCAACCATTTAAAGGGAGTATTAGTGTTAGACAAATCTTTATATGCTGTAGCAACATTGAATAAGTTTTAAAACCCAGACATGTAAGACATATGGTTTATAAAAACAGACCTATACTTGTATTTGAAACTGAAATTTGAAGACTGCTAGAAAAAAGGAGAAGTGAAAGGTGGTTGGCTATGTATGTTAGTGAACATAAGGATTATGGTTGTATTTTTTTTAAAGCAAAAGGATTATGGTTGTATTTCTCACCTAGAGAAATATGTTATAAAATTTCCACTTTACGAAACAAATTGTGGCTACTCCTAGCATTGCACAAAGGCTGCTCCGGCTTCTGGCCATAGAAATAACTCTGTGCTGACATGTTTATATATTTTAACCTTAATTTATCTGGGAGGGAAATATTCCCACTAAAGTTCTTAAAACTCACATTTCAGCTAATTTAACAAACTTAATGTCACTGCCATTCATTCTTCTGGTATTTGTAACAAAGTGGATCCACTATTTAATCTTATCTATAATGTTTATAGACTCACCACAAATTCTCATGGGCTTTGAGTGCTCAGAATAATGCTTGAACGCTTCACGTCAGATTTCCTTGAACCCATAGGAGTGTGTTCTGCAATGTCTGTACTTTTATAAAATACAGTTCAGAATATAATTCCCTCTCCATCTCTCTTTAGATTGTCCTACATGTCCTGCTGATCATTTGGACTCACTGGGCTCCATTCCATTGTCCTTAGTCCAGTATCAATATAGCCTTAGACAACTGTCTACCTGAGTCTAAGGAAGAATGGATCTAAAACAATTTTCTGGACAATTTAGGTGGAAAACCCTGAGTACAAGAAAAAATATATTCCTCTGCTGTAATAATTAACTAGATTGCTTATCAAAATGGCCAACTGACCTGAATTCACATTAAAATCTCATTTCACACTGACCTACTTAAAAATTTAAAATTGGACTCCAACTGAGAAATTCTTTAGAAATCATGTTGAATCTCTGTGTAATAAAAGAAAAAAATTATATTACCAGATTTCAAATTCATGCAAAAAGTCTAGGTTGACATTACAACCTGAAGTTCAGGCTGGTTCTTTGTGATCTGAGGCAGATGCTTGTTAAAACCTATGACATATGGAGGAAGGACAGAAAAAAAGAGAAGGAAGGAATTTCTAGAAAAGAAGAATCAAATGATTTCTTATACAAGGGCTGTTTTTAAGTTAGAAAGCTATCTGAAATAAACTAGTGGAAATGAAATCAGCTAAAGGCCTTAATCTGGGATTGCAAGCCTCTAAGTCTGCTGCCTGTACAAGAATGTCACTTCAGTGTGCTGAGGTCCCAGTATTGTCATAGGTGGGACTTTGCTTTGTGTGATTTTAAAATGCCATATGGATTCCTTGTGGACCAGAATAATCAGCACATTTAATGCTAGGCTGAGGGTTTCATTTTCCCAGGCTCTGTTCCCCATCACCGCCTGGGCACCAGGAGCCTCCCTAATAGGAGTTCAGATGACAGCATTTCCCACTACATTTAGATTCAAAGAATCTGAGTGGCTGATTAAATGGCCATCTGATGGCTGAAAGAGGGGGGTATTTTTCTCCCTTTAGTGAAAGGCTTGGAGGAGTTTCTACTTTTTATTTTAATTATATGTTAACCAAAGAATTATTTTAAAGTAACCTTATATTTGAAAGATGATTTTGCAAAAAATATTTTTAAAATGCCTTCTGGAATATCAGTTTGATAAATCACTGTTGATCATTTTCTTGTCAGCAGCAGTGTTTGAGACACACATAGCTGTCCTCCTGTTGTGTGTAGCATTGCCATAGATGTTTCTTTTCCACTCAACTAGCTGTATTCATATTAAAATGAAGTCTCTTATTTCAATTACCTAGTGTCTGAGAACTAATTGAACAGCAGCAAGAAGAGAAGTTCCTATCTTGGTGCCTTTATAGAAAGGCTTCCCTGTGCAGTAACCTAGGCACTCCCCATGCCAGTGTTTAAATCTAAAAGCGGTGTGAATTGCTCTTTTGAATTTACTCTGTCGTGCATGTGTCGGAATACAGATGAACCTCTGTTTAATTTTCACAGGCTTTAGCACCGTTAACTGTACCAAATCGGCACCAAGTTAAAAGATGAGACTTCGGGTGATTTGCATTTAAATTAGAATCCAAACACACGTGTGAGAAAGGAAAGGGGCTGGTCTGAGGAGGCTGGCTTGCACGAGGGGTGAGATTGGTGGAGGAGGGTGGGAAAAGAGCGATTTAACACCACTTTAGGTGAATGTTGACTTTACAAAAGTGATGGGAGTATTTTGTTAGGTGATGGCAGATGGTTTTTCATTTTTTAAACATAGGACTAAAATTAGATTTTCTTCTCTTTACTACTTCAACATATTGAATTTTCTTAGGAAAGTGACTAGCTATAATGAAAACTTAAGGGAAGAGGGGGAAAGATTGTCTCTAACGCAGAGGAAATAACTTAATTTTTAAATACGTGTAATATTAGGCTTGGTGTACAGTCTGTAGGCTTACAGTTATAGCGATGAGTAGTCAAATTTAATATACAATCAATTCTTACAAATATTTTACCCGGTGTTACTTAGCTGCCATAACTCACAGAAAAATCGGAATTTTGCGGCTGTTCAGCTATTCATGACTCTGTACAGGATACATATGTATAATGAAAAACGTGTAGTCATTCTTTTGTTGATTGCCCGTTAGATAGGAACACCATCCCAAAGCTTTTTGGTTATGCAAAGACCATTCTAAACCTTCTATTTGGGAGAGGCATATTGGTTTCTCATTTATAAGACAATTGTACCATTTTTTCTATGTGATACAGGTGTATTTATTTGAAAAATAGTTTGTAATTACAAGAAAGAAAACCACACCTATCTGTACTACCAGATTCCTTTTGTATTCCTTTTGGCGTTTGTGCTTTCCTGGCAGGGAGTGCTCCCCTCCTGCTACAGCTGGCACCATTGTAACCAGTCCATTGCATTCCAGGCACATGGCCATTGAAGTGGTTCATAGATAATTTAATAAAGAAAAACTGTGTCCTCAGTTAATCCAGAGCAATCGCATGTTCAATTCTGAATGGTCTCTTTTGCTATCACGTTCCCAGATATCACTGTGATTTTGGAAGTGTCCATTAAAAGTGTGATTCTTCTCTCAGTGGGCCTGAGGGACACTTGCTGCTAAATGTCCGAAGGTGGAGGATGAACAGCAATTGTGTGGGTCTCGGTTCCCTCTGGTCAGACAGCCAGTCTGCCTCCGAGTCATCCAGACCAGAGAGGTGGCTGACAAAGCAAGCTCTAAAATACTTTCGTTTTATCCCATGTGCAAACCAGGGGGGACACAAAGTAACTTTTCTTCTGTAACCAGCACTACAAAATGGAACTTTATAATGTTTTTTTGTTTGTTTGTTTTTCCTTTTGAGACAAATGGCTTCTCTAAACTTCTGCAAGCCCGGGCAATAAACCGCTACTCACCCCCCACCCCTCAGCCCAGATGGACCAGCAGAATGTGCAGATGCTAGCACTTAGAGTGAGGTCCAGTTTGGTTTTATTTCCAAAGCAGGGAAGGGAGGAGAGGTCTCAGTCCAGGAATGGTTGAAACAAGCCTGGTCATGTCTGTCTCATCCTGTTTCTTTTTTCCCTGTTCTTGCTGTAACAGATGCTACCACACCTACGCACAAGGAGAAGATGGCTGTTTGGGTGATGAGGCCCCTCCATCTCGTGGGATCCCCCTTTGAATAAATCCTTTTTCCTTTTTAAAAGAATAAATGGACACCTTTAATTTGGTCAGTGAGCACATGGACCTAAGTGGCTGGTAACACGTCCTCCAATCCTAGGTTCGTGGCTGAGGCTCCTGTAACAAAAGCCAAATAACAAGAAGAAAAGTACACATTTAAGTCTTCTGTGACATGGGAAGCTTCAAAAGGAAATAAAGATCTGAATAAACATTTAAGCCTTTTTGGTTGAGGTAGTTGGGGACAGGGTCACGCTAAATTGTACAGACTGGCCTCAAACTTGGAATCTTCCTGCCTCAGTCTCCTGAGTGCTGGGCTTACAGGCAGGTACCACCATGCCCAAGTTAAACCTGAATATCTTTATGCTAAGTTTGATGAAGAGTAGGTAGCCACAGAGAAATAGAAAGTGAAGATGCCCTGAGGGCTGGGCTTTAGCTCAGTGGTACCACCACCTGCCTCACAAGCACAAGGTCCTGAGTTCAATCCTCAGTACTAAAAAATTAATAATAATAATAAAAGAAAGTGAAGATGCCCTAAAATGGGAATAGGGCCAGGGATATATAGCTCAGCAGCACAGTGCCTGCCTAGTAGACACGAGGCCCTGAGTTTGAATTCTGATGCCAAAATAAATTAAAAAATAAAAATAAAATGGGAATAAACCAGAGAAACAGTGAGCCTGTTTGGATCCCTCTCACTGTTCCTCTGTTTCCAAGGGTGCTTCCCTCATCCAGGTACAGGGTGGGCACTTCTCACAACTGCTTTAGGGGAGACAAGTACAGACCAGCAGCGTCAGAGTGACCTTCTAACTTCCCCTTTCTCAAATTCCTTCAGCTTAAAATATTCAGTATACATCTGGGTATGGTGATGTACGCCTGTAATCCCAGCACTTGGGGAGGCTGAGGAAGAGGAACTGAAAGATGGATCCCAGCCTGGGCATCTTAGCAAGTCAGTGAGAACCTGTCTCGCTAAACAACAACAGCAACAACGGGCTAGCTCCGTGTGAAGGTCCTGAGATCAGTCCCAAGTACCACAGTCATTCAATCATTCAATCAATCGATCAGTTAACCTATCATTTCAAAAAGGGCTGGGGATGCAGCTCAGTATAAAGGCCCTGGGTTCAATCTCCAGCACCATCAAAAAACTTTTTCAACATGCCAAGGCGCCATATTTTGGGGTAGCATATCCCGAGCACCATGGAAGTCTTCGTTCCTCATCAATAATAACCTGAGGTATTATTACACTAGATCTCTCTATAGAGCAAGAATTTGGGTAAGAGAAGGGGCAATCCACCTCCAACTTCATTCTACACTACTACAACCCATAGACTACATTTTCAAAGTAATTATATGTTAAGCTAATAAGACTTAAAAATAGGCCTTGACTGCAAATCTGTGCCCAGGATGTGAATACAGATTTTCATTGACACAACCATCCACTCCCCTGGCAGGGCTGGCTTCCTGTGGAGATGTAACAGTGAATGCTGGAATCTGACAAAAGGCCATGCTATGTTTAGCCTTCTGGCTGGCTCTCAGCTGCTCTCTGCTTGACAGATTCCCAAACTCATTTTGGCCTTTTGTGATGTATGTAAAGGCTGCCTGCACATCCAGAGAAAATCAATCAGTGTACTTTGGATTTAAGCTTAAATCAGCAAAATGTGGTGGTGGTGTTTTTGAAAGTTGTTTGAGGACCAGAAAAAAAAATCTTCTCCCTGACCACACAGAATATTTCATTTTGCCAGAAATACACACGTGAAACCCAGATGGTTGCTCTTGGCCAGGGGAAAATGCCAGAGTTTATTTAGCTTGCCAGTTGCTGTTGTGCTCTTGGGGCAGTCCTAAAGGTCTGTGTATCACCGAGGAGAATGTCATGCTGAACTAAGAATGATATTCAGTCAAACAGAATTGGGCTGGGATCCAGGCTTAGCTGCTCACAGGATGCCCTTACCTCCTTTCCCTTGTCTAATAGGCATAATAATTTTTTTTTTTGCCAGTATGGTTGTGAGAATCAAATAGAATAACACATATAATGTATTACTATATGTACTAATACTACATGTTAGTGATAATAAAATACTGCATACTAATAAATAGGTAATTTATTTGCGAAGGCCAAAATCAAATCTTACATGGAGCCACCCCACTCTTCTATGGGGAATATCTGGGATGAGAAATAAAAATGGCATAATTTGTATGGAAATTGCACCACTCTTCTCCCCAGAAGTGAATTTCTGTCTTAAGAGAATGATAAAAGCGAGATTGTTGATTGAATTTTGTGATGTGCTTAGGAGCCCCCCTTAATGACCACCTTCCTTCTGTATAACTCTTTATAATTTAAAAAACAGTTTTCACTTGATCCCCATAATAATTATACAGGGTAAAAATATCAGGTATCATTAACTCATTGTATGAAGGAAACGAAGATCTTGAGGTTGTGAACTTATTCATCATTCCCAATACTTACTGGTTGCTATTTTCCTAGCAGGGTGATAGGCTAGAGCTACAGTGGCAAAGAAGAAAGCAAGGTGCCTGTTCTCGTAGATAAGGAGACAGATAAAGAGTACATAAACAAGATAATTATGGATGCTCCGAAACGCTATTTACAAAATACACTGGGTACTGAAAGAGCAACTTTGCCATGTATGGTAGGGGATTCTGTTGTGGAAGGGTGATGTGTGGAGTCCCTGAACAGGGGGCCATTAAACCAGGTGAGCAGCAGCTGGCCATGGCAAGGAGCTGTGCAAAGACAGCCCACAGAAGCTATGGATGCAGAAGCCCCCAAGTGTGTGGAGGTGTGGTGGGGAATTTAGCTCAGTTGATCCGTCACCTGTCTCTCAAGCACAAGGTCCCAAGTTCGATCCCCAGTAGAAAAAAAAAAAAAAAGAAGAAGCCCTAAGTGAGAAAGACCTGG